TGACAAGTCCAGAGTAGTAGTGGTCCATGATGATGGTGTCCCAATGAGTCAGTGTTTCCAGCAGACCCTCTACATCAGTGGTTCTCAACCTTTCTAATGCCGCAACCCTTTAATACAGTTCCTCATGTTGTGGTGACCCCCAACCATAAAATTATTTTCCTTGCTACTTCATAACTGTAATTTTGCTACTATTATGAATCGTATATTTAAATAACTGATATGCAGGATGTATTTTCATTGTTACAAACTGAACATAATTAAAGCATAGTGGTTAATCACAAATATTTTTTTTTGCAGTAGTTGATGATTTTACAGTACATGATTTTACATTTACCCAGTAATTATAATTCATGAAGTGTTGTTTTACCTCCAATACTGCTACTTTCAACACAGTAGCTGCTTTTAACAGAGTAGCTGCTTTCAACACAGCAGCTGCTTTCTACACAGTAGCTGCTCTTTACACATGTGTGACTGGTCCACATAAGTACATTATGGCACCAACCCTGTCACATACACCTGTATTTGTATGGGGTGTATGTGATGGGGTTGGCACGATGATGTCATCATGCCGGGTACTCATAATTGGGCATATCTGCATGTGGGCGGATCCGCCTGGAGACGGATAGAGGAGCGGTGTCTCTGTTCCTAAGACCATCGGAAATATGTGTTTTCCGATGGTCTTAGGCGACCCGTGTGAAAGGGTTGTTCGACCTCCAAAGGGGTCATGATCCACATGTTGAGAACCACTGCTCTACATGATGGTACATAATGGTATTTGTGTGGTACCCAAAGCAGAATTCAGTGGGAGACTTTCCGGGGTCCTATCCCCTCTCCTTTTCATAACCATACAGGACAGGTGGGCCAGACCCAAAAACCCGGAAAACAACAAGAAAAATTAACCCCTTCCCTTTGGCTAGACAGCCATAAATCCGTACAGTGGCCAATTTGCCTACAGGTATAATGTCTGAAAATGAATAATGGTAGGCAGGATATTTATGAATAAAAATGCTAAAGTGATTACACTACTAAACCAGATTTGTTATCCATGAGTCACTGTTTTCTGACACCACTGCATTGGTGTTTGCAGAATCAGTATTTGTTTCTGGGGCCTAAGGGCCCAACTGTGGACCTGATATTTCCACAGGATTGTCTTTCCTTAGGCTGTAGCGCTCATCTACTCCACCTTAAAGCAGCAGTATTGTGTTGTGACTGGTTACTTGTTGGTCCACGTAAAAAAACACAATCTTCAATTTGAAGCAGATAAGATGTAGAAGCTTAAACTTTAAAACAGTCTTGACTTCTCAGAGCTGTTGCTTCTTTTTAGATCACAATGTCTGGCTTGTAAACCACTGCACTGGTGATCATTTGCCATCACTAGGTGTATCTCTATATTTCAGAATACCAGTGTATGCATCCCTTCCACTGTATCAACTGATGTTTGATCTGTTGAACAGTTTGCTCATTCTGTCCGTTTGACTGTGGATATTTAGGACTAAAAGTTGTATGCTTAAATTCACAGGCCTTAGTAAACCTTTCAGATTCTGTTGAAGCAAACTCAGAGGCATTGTCTGATGCAAACGACCTTGGTGTTCCCTCTCTAGGAAAAATGTGTTTTCAATTTGTACAATACTATGGATGTCAAGGTTTTTTTTTTTCAATTCTACATAGAAAACAATTGAATAGTCCACAACCAGAATACTGTATGTGATGCCTATCACAGAAAAATCAAATGTACCTTTTTGAAATTGTCATGAAGGTATTGCATAGGAATCCTTCTTCATTGGAGTAATAGGTGTGATGTTGTGTTGATTGTTCCTGTAGCTCCCTAGCCATTTTTAACCTCAGAGTGGAAGCTTGGCATGTGGTGGCATTATTTTTGTAAGTTTGAGCAATACATTTTCTAACTAAAAAACTTGTAACAGCCTATATAATGGGGGTAATAAAAAGGTACTCCAAAACATTTCACCACATCCCAGGTAGAATTCAGTACATGGTAGAAAAATAATAGCAGCAAAACCTTTGAACACGAGCTGAAATAGCAAACTTTATCAACCCCTGAGCACACACCAGGAGAGGTAATATGTTTTCAGAGGGTTTTTTTTGTCTTCTTGTTTGTACAGTAATAATAAGAACGAATGGAAGCTTCTCGCGGATTGCATCTCTCTCCCCACCGACTTACCTCCACTTCTCTTGGAGAGGGAAGATGGAAGTGCTTTCCTCAAAGTACAGTTCCGAATCCAACACTTCAGAGAAGAGGCTACCTATAATTGAACAAATACACCGGTTCTCCACCAGAGGAAGCTCCACAAGATGTCTGTAGGACTTCTGGCTCCCAACTATTTATCACCCTTCCAGCCCACAAATATCAACCAGAGACTGACTATAGCTACTTACAATGTAACTATAGACTGGTATAGATTGGGACTAATCAACAGTAGCTGGTAGAAACAATTAAGCAAATGGGCTTTGGGAAACTCACACACTTTAAAGAAGAGTACTTGGGACAGCTTGGGATGGTTAGAATTATAAATGACTAAAAGACAAAAGCAGCACACAATATTTGCTTTGTAGGCTTACAGCTGAACTGCAGACAAATATCTAAATATGGAGATGAAAAACATGCCAAGAAATTGTTTCTCTGTCCATCCAGTCCTGGATTTTACATAGCACTATTACACAGCATAGCCCTGTCTGGCAGGGTAGGACAACTGATTTTTCCCTGCTGCAGTTACTTACATTTACAGGTCTCCTTCCCACCACCATTTGACTGGACAGTAGAGGAGAAGCAGCAGACTGGAGCTCCGGGCTCCACCCCCTTGACCAGTGTCCCCATTGGAAGCAGCTTGCTGTGGATGCACTGGTGCGTGCTTGCTCCATAAGATGAATAGAGCAGCTCATTGGCTCACTGGCTGTGACTGACAACAGTTGGAGCCAATGGCTCCTGATGCTGTGTCTCAGCCAATGAGGAGGGAGAGAGACCTGGAGCAGCCAAAGCTCCTGTGCACATCGCTGGATCGAGAGGGGCCTCAGGTATTAGGGGGGCTTTGGGGGTAGCAGCACACAAAAATGTATTCACCTAGAATACATGAAGGTAAAAAACCTTCAGTCGTTACAACTGCTTTAATGATTTATTAATGAACACAAAACTGCATAAATTTGCGTATTTTATTTGTAATATTTTAAAGAAAGTGGGGTACCTGTAATTATGTACAGTCATGGCAAAAAATATTGGCACCCCTGTATTTCTGTCAGATAATGTACCAGAAAATTGTTGCAATTACAAATGTTTAGGCATTCTCATGTTTATTTCTTTTGTTTGTATTGGTATGACACAAAAAAGGGGAGAAACAAAAAGTCAAATCTGACACATTCCACAAAAAACCCCAAAAATGGACTGGACAAAATTATTGGCATCCTCAATTTAACCTCCCTAGCGGTCTGATTATGTCCATATTTCTGTGCTCAAAGTGGTACTTTTTTTGCATGGAAATATGTATTTTTTTTATTGTAGGCCTGTAATTTTTAGGAATAACTCACTGAAATCTGTCCAAACAAGAGTCTAGTAAACATCCCGGGTATGTTAAAATTTGAAAACACAAAAAAAATAATAATATAAAAATAATAAATTTAATTCAATAATATAATCAAACCAAAAACACTGAAATTTAAAATATAGCGCCAAGTTCGCACATCACTGAGCAAAGTCGCAAAATCGTTTTCAGTGCCTGATGACGCATTTCCCCACGAATCATTATCATTCAATTCTGCAAGTGGTTCTGATTTACTATCGCTGTTCTCTAGCTGGTCTAAAACCGATTTTGACCTAAAGGGACGCTTTTTGGACTCCATGGACGTTTCTCAGTTTCCAGGCAGAAAGAACAGTAAAAATGCAGGCAGGGCACAGGACAAAGCAGTAGGGACAAAATGTATGTGAAATGGTTTGATACAGTAATGTTTTACTATGAGATTTTAGTGTATTTAGTGAATGTCACTTTTTGTCATTTTCAAATTTCCCACCAGTTCCGTCCTCGTACGTCCCAACGTTGCAGGGGACAGAACCCAGAAGACAGATGCCGGCATCCGCCGGAGGACATTACAGGGGTCACTGCAGGAAGGACATCGCGGGAGCGCAGGACAAGGTAAGAGAAGAACAGATGGTAAGCCCGAATATAGCTCGGGGTTACTGCTTGTGGTACTGAAACTTTACCCCAAGCTACACTCGGGAATACCGCTGGGGAGGCTACTATTTGGTAGCACAGCACATGCCTTGGAAAAACTATAATAACTGTAACCTGTAACCATCAATGAGTTTTTTACACCTCTCTACAAGAATTTTGGACCACTCTTTTTTCACCAGCTGCTCCAGGTCTCTCAAAATGGAAGGGTTCCTTTTCCCAACTGCTGTTTTCACAGAACAATTTTCTGGGCGAAGTGGTGCATTACCTGATAGAAATGCAGGGGTGCCAGAAATACAGGGGTGACAAGGTCTATCTAACTCTCTCATCTCTCTAAGGGCTCATTAACACATGCAGTTGGGGGCCAGTAAAACCATGTAATTGTGCCATGTTTTTACTGCCCCTTAACCATGTTCACTTTAAATGGGAATGCAGCAGCTGGGGGTGTACACATGCTATGCAGGAATTATAGCCCCTGACACGCTCAGCGAGAACTACTGCCCTGCGAGCATGATCTATTCAAATGAATGCGGCTGTGCTGTAATCACCTCGCACCCGTGCACAAAGGGGGTAAAACAGGTCATACAATGTCTCTTCACTGCCTGTCAAATGCTCGCTGAAGAGTGATCCAAATGTGGATCGCTCTTCAGAGAACACCACAAGTGTAAACAAGCCCTAACTCTCTTAGAGCTTTTTCAGTAGACCTCCACTAAAACTATTTGTGTCACTAAGCAATGTTTTGCAGCTTAGCCTACTAACGGAATACACATTCTTCAAATGGCCTTCCTTGAGATTTAACTTGCCCCAACAATCTTTCCGTAGTGGTGCTAACTATATATTTGTGTATTGGTGTACAATAGTAGGCAGGGGTGGACTGACAACTCATGGGGCCCCCGGGCAATAGGGGATCATGGGGCCCCTGTGTCCTTGCCCAAACTCAAAAAAGCCTATGAAAAAGGTACTATGGGCATCTCATGGGGCCCCCTACTGACCCCGGGCCCTCGAGCAGTGCCTGAGTTTCCAAATGGTCCATCCCTGATAGTAGGTGAAATACAGTATATGGTCTTCACATGTAAATAGGGTTGCCACCTCATCCCTTTAAAACCGAAAACATATTAATTACACAGGTTCTGAGGCTAATTTAATGCAGATAAGGCACTAGGTGAGTATAATTACCGCTTTCATCAGCCTGGGAACCTGTGTAATAAATATGCGTTCGGTTTTAAAAGGATGAGGTGGCAACTATACATGTAAAGGTGCCTTTAAATATAGTATATTAAAATATATATGTTATATATATATATATAATTCATCATTTAGGAGGTAAATCTCACATCAGAATGGGTTGAATGCAGTTGGTATTAATGTGCTGTCTAAACATGTTTCACTGGAAAATGTACAGGGCCTTGGTAGGATGTTCAACATGTAGCAACCCTACACTTTGGCTATCAATCACTGCACTTTCTGTTAATGTTGATTAGCACCAACAGGGGAACCTAATAGATGATTGATTAGGTTTTCAGAAAGGAGATACAGTTTGTAACTGCAAAACAACAATTTATCTCTAAAGGATAAAATCTGTTGCTTAAATTAATGAAATTGCAATAATGATATTTAAAATAAAAATCACATATACATCTACGGTATTACCTTGTTTCATTCTGTTGTTAATGCGTTTTATGTAGGTATTCCTGTCATGTACCTGGTGAGACTGGAATGCTGGAGGGATTCTCTTGTACCTCCTGCCCAACACTCCTGAAGGTGGAAACAGAGTGTGAAGGCATGGAGTGGCACAAGTGCTGTGGTAGCTGGCTGATGGTATCTGCGCTGCGGGTGGATGGGACCAGAAATTGGAGAGTAGACCAAAGTCAGAAGCAACCGGGCAGCATGGGACCAAATTAAACAGGGCAAGTCCAGCAAACAAGCCAAGGTTGATAAATGCCAGGCAGAAGCAGTACAGAGTCAGCAGGCAGAGGCAAGTCCAGTAATCAGGCCAAGGTCGGTAGCAGCCAGGCAGCAGCAGTACAGAAGCAGTACCGAATCAGCAGGCAGAGGCAGCTCTAGTAAACTGTAGGGTTGCCATCTCATCCCTTTAAAACTGAACAAATATTAATTACACCGGTTCTGTGGCTGATCATGGTGATAATTAAAATCACTTAGTGCCTTATCTGCATTAAATTAGCCTCAGAACCTGTTTACTTAAAGTGGAGTTCCACCTGAATAAAAAAAAAAGTCAGCAGCTACAAAAACTGTAGCTGCTGTCTTTTAAAATACAGACACTTACCTGTCCCCCTGTCCAGCGGTGTCCTTGCCATGGCTGGTTTCACCGGCCATCTTCTCTCCCTGGTGCTGACACCTTTACTGTAGGCACCCAGCTGTGACAACTTGCGGATTCACAGCCGTGTGCCCACTGTGCATGCGCAAGAAGCGCTGCGCTTTGTGAATGGCCCGGTAGTCTTCTGGGACCTGTCACGTGTCCCAGACAACTATCGGGGGGAGGACAACTTCCGCTTCTGATCGCCTAAGCGATCGCAGCAGAAGTGGGAGTGGGTACCTGTCAAATTCGGGAACTTGCTCCCCAAAGGTGCCAATCCTTAATGGGGAGCGGGGGACAAAGGCTTAAAGCGGAACTTCCCCTTTTACTATGTGTTCGGTTTTAAAGGGATAAGTTGGCAACCCTAGTAAAGAGGTTGAGGTCAGGGTAACCAGGTGAGGAAGGAAGCAGAGGCGAGGTCAAGGGAGAAACTGGGTCATACATGGGTAGGCAAATACAGTGGATCAGGTCTCAGGACACATGGGAACAAGTTGAAGACCATTCGGCAACCTTCCTCAGTGACTCATCAGTTCATCAGTTTAAACAGGCCACTGGGAAACAAGTGTGCACGCCAATTGCTACGTGCATGTGCTCACATGCACCCCTCAGCCAAGACGTCACATTACATCTGGCGTTGACCTTCAGTCTAGACGTATGAGTGGTGCAATGTGCACATGCATGAGCATAAGTCCACACTGGTTTTCTCATCTTGAAAACCCTTATACAAGGTTGAGTGGTTTAGAAATAAATGTAGCATTTTAATATCTTTAATCTTTTTTAAAAGACAAAAAACTGTGATAAAATGTAAATGGTGTCAGTTAATCAATTTGTAATCTTTAAATACAGATAAAAATCATTGCTAGGTGTAGACTGGTATTAATGTTGAACTCCGCTCTGCCCGAGACCTCTTACTCTTTAGCTCCATTGTCACTTGCTCACCTTGAGAACTTTTCCTGAGCCTCTCCCATCCCCTGGAACTCAATTTATATGTCTATCTCCTACTCTGTCCTCCTTTAGACACTCACTGAAAACTCATCTGTTCAGGGAAGCCTATCTCACCTTCACCTAAAAGTTGTACACAGGGGCGGACTGACAACTAATGGGGCTCCCGGGCAATAGGAGATCATGGGGCCCCTGTGTCCTTGCCCAAACTCAAAAAAGCCTTTGAAAAAGGTACCAGGGGCATCTCATGGGTGCCCTCTACTGACCCCGGACCCTCGGGCAGTGCCCGAGTTTCCAAATGGTCAGTCCGCCCCTGGTTGTACATCTACCTTCACCATCAGCCCACCCTTACGGTTATTACCTTTTGTACCACTTGCTCCTCTCTTTTAATTGTAAGACTGCATGAGCAGGGTCTTCTGAACCCTATTGCATCAAATGGTATTGTAACTTTTTTTTGTCTCTCTCTATTTTGTATAAGTGCTGTTTAAATGTTTAGCATTTCTTACATCCCGATTATTATTATTATCATTCTTAGTAGTAGCAGTAGTATTAAGGCAGATTTCCAGAATGTTCTCTTTCAGAAAGTCCCTCTGTGCTTCTCTTTCCCTTCATCTAAGCATTTTTCACAAAACAGATTCATTCTGCTTAAGAAATAATAGGGGTAATGACATGAAGCGCTGATGAACATCCAATCATGTCAAAGCAAAAATACTATAAATTTTCTTTGCATATGATTGGGTATGCTTTCCAACATGAAATGCCACCACGTGTACTAAGCTCTTGAGGAAAATTCCCTTGCAAAGAGCAACTTCCTTTGCAAATGAATAGTCTATTTACCTTTAGTAAATCTGTCCCAATGTTTAAATGATCCTTATATTGACAGTTTGGAGCATTTATTTTGCCACTTGAGAACTGATTTTAATAGTAACATCTAGCACTATTTGAAATAGCCTGGTCAGATAAAAAAAATTGGCTGCTATGCATTAGTTTTCCTGCCCAAGCTGATGAATGTCACTCTGTTGGAGAGAAATTTTCCTATCTTGCCTATCTGCTGTGAAATGGTAATGCAGCAATGTGTTTCAAAGCTATTCCCTGCACAAGAAATGCCAGTTGCAGTATTGCTACAAAATAAAAAGATCAAGTAGCATTTAGGCTAAGTATATTGTTATCAAGTCAAGTAGCAGAGAAAAGTATATTGCTACATAAGTATTTGGAGGTTTGGAAGAGGCTGAGAGCAGTTGAAAGTGCTTTTTAGAGTTAAATACTTACTTGAATAGAATTTTTTTTAACTTGAGTTTAGTGGCACTTTAAGCAAGACCTCTAATGTCCAATAAGGATGTATAATGGTCCCTTCATTTACTCTGGAATTCTGTGATCAGTACAGCTGGGCTCAATGTATTTTTCACATTTTGTTATTTTTACGTCTAGTTGAGTTGCAGTAAGCGCTGGAAAAGTGGTGGAAAATATCCCAAAATGTCTGCAATTAAAATAGAAAAGAATCTTTAGCCTATTACAATTGAGTGGACGCAACTCATAGGTAATGGAAAAGATCAGTGTCAGAGGTACAAAGTTCAAATATAGACAGATTCCTAAAGCTAATTCATCAAAATAAACATTCCTTCCTGATGATCCAAAAGACTAAAAAAAGTAATTTTACCAACTGCCCTAAGGAGATGTAGGGATTTCTAAAATTCTCCTTACCATGACATTGTTTCTGGAATTTACATATTAACTTCAGGTTGTCTACATAGCTTCTGTGCTATGATCTGACAAATTTCAAGTGTTTTCTTCATATAGACATCACACTTGCATCAATTTTCTGATTGATAATGATATTGTACAGTTTGCAGATATGTCAACCCATGAGAGCTGTTTTGGGGGTGACAAGGAAGTGGAATGTGCCTTGGCAAAAATGGGGTGTTGCTAAATATTTTAAAGGGTGCAGCTTAAAGGTCCACTTGCCTACTGGGCACTTCGTGCCCAGGCCAAAATTTCAAGTTTCAGCTCTGTCACACTTTGAAAATTGCACGGTCATACAACACTGTACTCATACATGAATGTTTTATAATTTTTTTCCCACAAGTAGAGCTTTCTTTTGGTGGTATTTAATCACCTCTGGGTGTTTTATTTTTTGCGCTATATACAAAAAAAGAGCAAAACATTTTAAAAAAAAAAGTTTTTCTTTGTTTCTATTATAAAATTTTACTTATTTTTATTTTTACATAAAGTTGTCCATTTATAAGATATTTTTAACACGTAGCATATAAATACCAAAAAGTACACCCAAAAATACATTCTGATACTCCTCCTGAGTATGGCAATACCACATGTGTGAGACTTCTCCACAGCTTGGCCACATAGAGAGGCCCAACATGCAAGGAGCACCATCAGGTGTTCTAGAGAAACAAACACCCCAAAGTATATAATTAATATAATGTCTAGCGAGCGCTATTAGAGAAAGGAGATGAGATATGTATATATATAGAGCCGCTAGAACACCTAAAAGGTAACCAAAAAACCTTCCAAAAGTATATGTAAAGTGTATAGGTGCAGCTCTGGAGAAATGAACTAAAAGTGCAGGTGACAGTCAAAATACATAACCTGCAATATGTTAAATCATAGAATCAATGATAATCACAATGCGGTCAAGAGTCCAGAAAAGACGTGCAACATGGGAATCCAGTAAGGTCTCAGTTTGAAGTATGAATATGTGGTCCAGAAGTGATGAATAAACCTTAATGAACAGAATGCGCACTCACCATAAGTGAGTATTTATTACGCATATAGGAGAACTCCTGTATCATCAGGTACACATGTGGTCATCTGTATTCTGGTCAAGTTGCATTCGCTATTATCGTCTGGTCATACCATATCAGGATTCCAGGATTCCTCAGTAGATCACATCATATGGGGGTCACCTCTAGGGCAGGCACTGCGAAGGGTGGCACTCACGAGGAGAGCCCAATAAGGGACACCACATAGCGTGATACTGTATAGATGAACTTTATTCCAAAGTGTGATAGTATAAAATACTGACCAAAAGTTCCAGGATGGCCACCAGCGGTGGCTAGATGTCCAGATGCTGTAGCCCCCCTGACACGTTTCGTGCTAAGCACGTATTCATAGGGTGCAGGGCTTACAGCAGGACATCTTCATTGTGCTATTTATATTCAGAAATGGCTCTCTCGCTTATCGCGCCCGCCATTTTGCCGGCTACCGGCACATGCGCAGTGTGCCAGCACCTTTTTGTTGTGGATCACGGAGATTCATATAGTGCTTCTATATTTAGAAGCTGTGTGCGCATTGTGGCACCATTGTATTGGTGGGAAATGGCTCTTACTGCTCCTATGTGAGTCAGAAAGGCAGCGAATATGTTTGTAAGATACGTGGGAACAAATAGGATAATTATCCTTTACATATGACATAGCGGGCAATGAGAAGTGGATATAAGATTAAGAAACCCTTATACCCCTAAATGGATATAATACATATAAAGTGCATATTCAGGATTAATATGCAATGCCCACCCAGTTACACATATTCATGAATATTATGCAGTGTGATCATGCATGTCATATGTGTAGTTCAGAGTAAATAAATATTTAAATAAATCACTTAATGTTCCCAGTTATGACATCAGTTTTATGGATGTCCAATTTTTTGCTCTTAATGAAAGTGAATATATATAGCAGGTACATAATCAATAAAATATATCCAACAATAAAATATATATATCTGAATCAAGATCATGGTCAGGTAGTATATGCATAATAAAACGTAACACATAATAAAAATTATAATTATAAGAATAAATCAAAGATAAAAATAAATCAGCCTATTAAAATGTCAGCCAGTTATAAATACTGTGAAAATAAAAATATATATAAAAAACATATAAAACATGAAAAATTGCATTGGACTGATGATTTGCGATGAGATATAGGGTAGGTATATATTACTAATATCCAGAATAAATTATCAAAATAAACAATAAGATGACGTAAAACAACTGTGCTGTGTATTAATACATTGATAAAATCTCATCATTAAAAGCCAGACGGAATAAATGAAAAAGGTATATAAGATACAAAGGAAATAAAAATTACATAAAACTCCTTATAAAATCACGTAAAAATAGGTAGGTAGTATGTACATTTTGAAGCTTCCATTTCTCAATGTATGTAAATAATTCAACTATTATCAATAAAGCAGTTCAAATCAAACTTGATGTTGAGCCCCTTTGGATGTAGGGAACCAAGCTCATAAATCCATTAGGACTCGAGTTGTGACACCGCTCTTTTCTTATTTGATCCTCTCTAATGTGTATTAATGATCCCTATGCCCATGAACATCAACGAAGATGGGTCTTTATAATGGTGGATCCTATAATGGAGTGATAAAGAATGATCTTTGTATCCTTTTTTAATATTATTGACGTGTTCTCTTAAACGATCTCTTAAGCGTCTGGTGGTACGCCCCACATATTGTAATTTACATGGGCATTGTAAAAGGTAAACCACATGCCTACTAGTGCATGTGATAAAATCTTCAATATTGTAAACACTACCTTTTGTTGTAGATTTAAAACATTTGTGTCTGTTAGTATATTTGCTACTCAAGCAAATTATACATTTTTTGCAGGGATAAAAACCTTTCATGCTTGGAAACAGTGGGACGTTTTTAGGAGGATCTGTAATATTGGGAGCTATTTTATTTCTGAGGGGTGTGGCTTTTCTAAAAGTGATTTCCGGTTTATCCGGTAGAATTTGACTCAAAATAGGATCCGACTTTAAAATATTCCAGTTGCTCTTAATTATTTTGGTTATGGAATTGTGTTGAATGGAGTAGTTAGTAATAAAAGGATAAACTCTTTTGGGTCTTTGCATAGTGTCATTACTTAGCATCATTTCTTTATCAGACCTACCGATGTCATCCATGACCTGATTAAGTGTAGGTTCATCATAGCCTTTCTCTAGAAATGTCATTTTAATGATCAATGCTTGTCTATGATATGTATTAATATCTGTGCAATTACGCCTGATTCTAGAAAATTGTCCTTTTGGAATATTTCGTAGCCAAACAGGATGGTGACAGCTGTCTAAAGGAATGTAGCTGCTCCTATCGGTCTGTTTAAAATATGATTCAGTTAAAATTCCACCATCCTGATTTATTAAAGTCAGATCTAAAAAGTTGATGCTATGTTGGCTATAATTGAAAGTGAGTTTAATATTCAGTGTATTAGGATTCAAAGTAGTAAAAAAATTTAAAAGGGCCTGTTCTTCACCATTCCATATGAGGAGGATGTCATCTATGTAGCGCCTGTAAAAAGA